AAAAAAAAAAAAAAAAAAAAAAAGAAAGAAAGAAAAGAAAAGGAAGGTCTAATAATCTGGGCAGAAAATGAGGGCCTTCCCATCCTGTTTTCAGTCCCTGGGATGGTCTGTATCTGCCTCGGTCTGTGTTTCTACCCAGAGTAATGTACGCAGTTGTGTGGTCCTTTGTGGTAAACCTGAGATAAGCAGACTGGCATGGCAGGACTCAACCGTTTCCTATTAGAAACTTGTGAGCTAGCTTCTCACACCTCCCTGTACAGCTCACCATGTCCCCTTTCACATAGACTCGGTGCACCTGGCCAATGCTTACCACCCTCCTCAGCCACCTGCATTCTTCCCTTGTGCGCTAGTCTCTTGCTCCCCGAGACCTCATTTCCTTCTCTCTGAAGGTGACACGTACCGTGTTGACACGGAGATGGTTCAGGAGTATGCAAGCCTGTTCCTCAGTGGCCTGATTATTCTTGTGGAAAAGCTGGTGGAGGATCCTCTTAATCACCGGGTAGGTGGCAATGCCTTCCAGAGCCAAGCACTGAGCTGCAGCCCAGCTGTCCACACTGTTACCTGCCCCGTGGATTGAAAATGATGGTGTCGGTTCAGAATGACGTCTCCTCCCACAGAGCACCACCTTTGAGTTGGTACCAACTACTGTTGTCTGTGGCGTCTTACCTTCCGTTAGCTCTCTGAGTCTGGAAATCTACTCCCATAGTTCAACCACATGGACTATTTGAAGATTTAAAAACAATAAAACCAGAAAAAAAATTTTTTTTGAGACAGGATTTCATTTGGTCCAGGCTAGCCTTAAACCCACTGAGTACCAGAAGATGACCTTGAACCTTTTGGGGAGAGGGCTGTGGGTGGCCGTACTGGGGACACCAAGCTAGAGCCCCAGTCTGTCCTTGACTTCTTTTCTTGTTTTGTTTTTTAATTTTATTTTAACTTATTTTTTATTTGTAAAACATAGTTTATCTGTGTAGCCCTGGCCATCCTGGAACTCAATCTGTAGACCAGGTTGGCCTTGAACTCACAGAGATCCACCTGCCTCTGCCTTCTGAGTGCTGAGATTAAAGGATCGTGCCACCTCCTGGCTCTGACCTTGACTTCCGATATGCCTGCTTCTACCTTTCAAGTGCAGGCTAAAAGAATAAAAGCTCTTCTTGGGTAACACTTCTGATCTAGCTAAGAAATGCAGTCATTTCTTTCCATGGAGATGGGGAAGGCTATAGGGAGCTAGGAGGAAGTCCCTAAAACTGATGAATTAGGCAGTGGATTGTTTATATATAGAAGGCCAGATGTTTTCTCATGCTAGGTCAAGGGACAGCTCATCAAGAGAGGTGAGTGGCCTCTCACCTGACAGCTGTTAACTCCAGCATGATGATGCCTGGGGGTCACTGTGCATCTGAAGCATGACATCTGAAGCATGATGTTCAGGGGATGATTTAAAAACAAAACCTTACAAAACGTACTTAGAGCTATTGTTATGTTATCTTTTCAAGAATGAAGTGTTACCTAGGAGGCCATTTTATGTTGTATTTGTCTTTCTTGGTACTAGAGATGCAATTAAAGTCTTAGTGTTGAGTAATCATACTACCATTGGGCTAGACGTCTAGGCCTAAAATCATTGGCTAGTCATGCATCAACTGTATTATTAACAGGGTTGAGGGGTTATTTCAATGCACGTGTGCAGCACTGCATTGATGAAACCCACGGCTTTATCCACGCTCTGCTCCCCTCCACTCACCTCTAGTAATCACTCGTCCCCTCCAGGTTGACCTTTTAATTATAGTTTCCACATAGAAACGGGGGGGGGGGGCGTCTTTTAGTTGTAGCTTATTTTAGTTAAGATACTATCTCTGGTTTCATCCATTTCAGGAAATGGTTTATAGGCTGCATCTGTGAAATCTTACACCAGGTACCAGTTCATGGCACCAGTTTTGTAAAAGTACCTAGGAAGAACTAATATCTCCATATGCCTAACAGAGACCCAAAACAGCAGACATCCCAGCATTCCGGCGAAAAGGAGAGGACAGTAAGGTAACCTCTGTTCCACATCCCAGGTCACTGGTGGCAGTTCCCTGCCACACCAACCCCAGTAGAATCTGTGTGACAAGTTCCACAGACTGAAGCAAAAACTTCAAAAGGAGGAGGCCTCCCGGGACCGGTTGTGGAACTCTTGCCAGGAACAAAACACTGAGCCGTAATTCTCATGGCAACTTACTCGTTTAGTTTCTCTTATTCCTTTTCTGATTTACAACATGTTCCTGATAGCCTACGCCAAGATCGTAAGCAAAGAAACCATCCCTTGAGATGGGGTCACCCACATGACCTTGCCTCCAGGGAAACTGCCGCTTTACTTTATAATCATTTACAAAGCTACATAATAGTATTATGATAAATAAGACTTTCTCAACAATAAAATTTCATATGGCTTCATGTGTGTCATCGGAGGAGGGCTTTGGTATATGGTTAAAAAAAAGCCTTAAATAAAAAGAATTAAAATAGTTTAAATTTGTGCGTTGAAAGTTTATTAAAAAATCAGGTATTAGATGTTAAATAATAGTTGATTATAAAAATTAATTGACCTGCTCTTGGAGATCTGCCACAAGCCTTGGACGACTGCCTCCCTGAATACATCCTTTCAGAGTTGTGACACTTGAATGATTTTTATTGTGTCAAATAATAATAATGATGATGCTACCTGTTCTATTTGTGATTTATTGAATATATCTTTTTAGAGTTGGTAATGCTTGAATGTTCTTGTGCTTTGATGATTGCTTTCCTGTATACATCTCCTAGCAGCTGTAATATTTGTTTTTTTCTATGTATAAGAACCCTTGGTGGAGGGCTGCAAACTACACTCAGATTCAAACTGCCTCTGCGTTTGTTTCTGTTTGTCACCACTGAATCCTCTCCCACCTAGCTTTTGAGGACCCTCATCCCAGGAACTCCCGTACCCGACTGGGGTGATCCGTGGCACTCACCCTTTATGAGGGCTGTCTGCATGATGTCCCGGGCAATGGGATTATGTGACTGTATGGCGTACTGGCATACTGCCGCCGCCATCCTCACATTGGGATTTCTGTCAGACAGAGCAGCCTCTAGAACAGGCAGAAGGACCTCTGGCAAATCCACGATGATTGGTTCTGCAATCAAAAAGATGGTACCAGTCCTTTGCTTCTCTCTCAGCTTCCTTATCAAGGTCAACCTTACATCCATGGCTTACTAAATCACAGGTCAGATGGCTGCCCACAACGGGCAGGATTTTATACCCAAAGGACACTGGTGCTGATACACCAGTTTTCAGCCTTTATCATCTTGTCTCTAGTACTAAAGCCAAAACATATTTCCAGCTAGTTATTGTAACCTTCACCATTCATCTTAGTAACAAAACCAGCCCATTCACTCCTTCGTAGTAATTATATTTATGCTTTGCCATTTCACATTGTCTAATTCAGTATTTCAACTCTGGTTGAGTTTGTGCCCAAATGGATATCACCACAGAATCCAGTGGGGGGGGGTGTCTTTTAGCTTTAACTATAAACACTGAACTTGCCATAACCATTGTACTGAGGAGGATGGGAGAAGATCACCGCTAATGTTGGCCATTCCTTGCATCTGGGATCTTTTTTTTTTTAATTTGGGAAAAATTTTTTCGTAACTTTTATGTGTTTTGTCTGCATTTATATCTCCACACCACATACATGCAGTGCCTGTGGACTCCAGAAAAGGTGTCAGATCCTCTGCCATTTGGGTGCTGGGAATCAAGCCTAGGTCCTTTGGAAGAATAGCCAATGGCTTTAACCACTGAGCCATCTCTCCAGGCCTGTTTGGGGTTTATCCATAGCATTCAGTCTGGATGAATTTATGCTCCATGGGTATGATAGATCTTTAGCAATGCCATTGGTACAATTTAGGGTCGTGGAGGGCATGCATGGAATAGGGCATCTGGGGAGGCCCAGAGAATAGTATTGGTCAGGAGTTTAACTTTCTTCCAGCTGTGATGTGATTTATCAGCTGGGGCTTTTTTTTTTTTTCTTCTCGAGACAGGGTTTCTCTGTGTAGCCCTGGCTGTCCTGGAACTCACTCTGTAGACCAAGCTGGCCTCGAACTCAGAAATCCACCTGCCTCTGCCTCCCAAGTGCTGGGATTAAAGGCGTGCGCCATCACCGCCCGGCTCCAGTTTAAATTCTTAAGCTGAAGGAGAAAGGGTTGCCACCTCTTTGCCCACAAGTATCTCTCCAAGAAACAGCAGAGCTGTGAGTTGTTCTGTGCTTTCATTTTGTTTTTGAGGGTCTCTAAAGCCCAAGATAACTCCTGATCTTTCTGCCTCTCCCTCCCAGTGCTAGTATTATGGGCATACACATCCACACTCAGTCCATCTGTCTTTTTCACTTAGGTTGTAGGCCCATATGCACACTGCTAGTTGAAGACCCTTGATCTCCAAATCCAAAATCTGAAATACTCCAAATACAGACATTACCGCCCACAGGTGGAATCTCCACACCTATCCTCATGTGACAGGTTCAGTAAAAATGGAGACACAGTTTAAGTACTGTATGAAATTACCTTTTGAACGGGTCTATATATCTATATCTATCTCTTTCACGTTTAGACTTAAGTCTCATCTCTAAGATAATCAATCCGTGTATGTTCAAATACTCTAAATCTGGAAATAATCCATTTTTCTTGTCCAAAGCATTTCAGATCAGAGATAGTCAATCAAGGGATACAGATGGAAATGTGTACATTTCTAGTGAGCAAATAGACGTCTACTGAGTATTTAAAAAAAATAAAGTTATTTTCTCTGGGTAAGTAATGATTGAGACATACAAGTGCAGGACCCATGAAAGGGATTACAAGTCTGAAGACAAAAGTGTTCTCGTATGTCCAGTCATGTGCCACACGATGCCTCAGTCAACGACAGATCACGTATACTACAGCAGCCCCATAAGATGTTTCTCCTAGTAACACTGCAGCTGTCTCATGTAAATACTTCTCATTGTGTCTGCACAATGATGAAACTGTATGGCGACACCTCTCACAGAACACATCCCTGCCAAGTGCCGCTTGACTGTATGCAGCTTTGGGTATGAGATTATAATAATATCCATTACCCAAAGAAACAAGAAAAAATAATAACAAAATATGTATAGAAGCTTATAGCAGGCTTCTCAGAGGAAGTGGTGTCTGGGCAGTAGATCGAGGAGTTGATCAGGCGAGGACAAACTTTTCCAGTAGAGGGAGCTGCAAACTTGAAAACCTGGAGGACTTAGCCGAGCCGGCAGTGTGCTTGCGCGTTGAGTATGCGTGCAGGTGTATGGCCTCTGGCCATCAGACAGCAACTTCTGAGGGAATGCCCACAAGTCTTCAAGTCAACAGGAAGAAAGTGGAGGAACCTTTAAAAGCCTGACAAGTTGGAAGAGGTACAGCCAGTCCCAGCCCCTCACTGTAGGGATAGCAGAAGTGTAAGTCACTCACTATCCAACCACAGGTGAGATTAGAGTGAGTTTAGCTCAGAGAAGGAACAAGGTGGCACAGGTTTCCGGCTAATGATTCTGAGAAGGTACATGAGATACAGAGACATGGCTGGGTTTCTGTCTACCATTTCATCACCAGGAGCCTGTATTATTGAATCATCTTTGGTTATGATTTTGGCTGTAGTGGAGGGGAGGTTTTCTTACCTATTGCTGCCAATAAGGAGAAATGATGTCAACATTATTTTCCCTAAAAGATTCCAAACTCTGCAAAAGTGGAAAAATTCTTAATTCACTTTTAAGATGGAAATCTATCAAATTCATTTGTGTATTTTCTTTTCTTTTTTTCCCTTCCTACTTTTCTTTGCTAGGGCTTTGTGCATGTCAGGCCAGCATTCTACAACTGAGTTGCACCTTCAGTCCTTAGTTTTTCTCTGGATGAGTATTTTGTTTGAATGCATGTACATGTAGCACATGTGTGCCTGGTACCCATAGAGTCCAGAAGAGGACATCAGATCCCCTGGAACAGGAGTACAGACAGTTGTAAGCTGCCATGTGGGTACTGGAAACAGTCCTCTGTAAAAACATCCGTGGCCATAACCACTGGGCTATCTCACCAGTCCACAAGATTTCAAGGTGGGAAAACATGGACTTCATTGCAAGCCACTCAGCAAACATATGGGCTGAGTGTATTACAAAAAAACCCTAGGGTAGAGTGCATGCTTAGCATGCCAGAGGCCTTGAGCTCAACACCAGGCCCCTGAACTAGATCCAGGCGCCTCAGTCCCGTCTCTTGAGATGAGCTGTGCAGCAGACTCTAGACCATGGTTTCCGCATTTGGAAAATGGGCTCAGGTTATCTCTAAGGCCTCCTTCTGTTCACATGTTCCCAAGCAGCTCAGTCCTGGCTCTTACCTGAGTCCTCCGGGTTGCTGGCAATCCGGGGCCTTTCTAAAGCAGCAGTAGCGCATGTGGTAATGGCCTGGACCCTAATGTCATCATACATGCTCTGAATGCGCTGTAGTAGGTTCTCCACTGTCTCGTGATGCCATTCAATAACTGTGTCATAGGAAGAAAAATGAAAAAGAACCACCTAGTCAGGATTATGTTATGCAATAAACAGGAAGACAACAAGAAGTCCCTTTCCCTAGGACATTGCAAGAAACACTTTAGCTCAGAATAAAGAATTCACAGATGGGCTCCTTTGGCAAGTTAGTTTTGTGGTGATTCCTACATACACTTCTCGGGTAGTTCTCCCCAGTCTCTTCTTACATACGATTGCTCCTTACTTAAGTAACTTTTCATGGGAGATAAATGGGAATAAAATACAGTGTTTGGCTGGTTATGGTGGCACACAGTTACTTAGAGTCACTTAGGCTGAGACAGGAAGATCATAAACTCATGAGTTCAAGACCAGTCAAGGCTACATAGTGAGTCTCCCATCTCAAAGCAAAACAAACAGGGTGAGGGATGAGGTTCTCAGTTGGTAGAGGCATTCCGTTTTCTACTTAACGTCCTTTGAAGGAAAATAGATCCACAGTAACCCCCATTTGCACCACTGAGTTTGTTCTACAGTCAACCTGCAGTTTCCTTTGACAGTGCATATACAATGCTGGGGCTGTATCTTTCATCTTTTCTGTCATAGATCATTTACCCAGCGTGTCTCAGACATGGGTAAGACAGAGTTTCTGCCTGTGACGTTTTCTCAGTGTGACTGTGTTAGGGGACCCCAAGAGCCAAAGAGAAGAAAAACGAGAACCAGCCACGTGGCCTGCTCAGTGTTCATGGAGTAGTATAACTCTTCCACTTCTTTCCCGTAACCCCCATCCCCTCCCTCCCTTTCCACCTCAGCTTTTCTTAGTCTCACTGCCCAGTATGCTAAAGTACTCATTCATTCAGAAGGTAAGTCATCTTATATGGGAGACAAACAAGCCAGAAAAAAAAAGTATCAAAAGCTCTGTTCCTGGATTTCTGTGGCTCTGCCTTTGAGGAAAATCCTGCAGAGACAGTGCTAGCACACAACGAACTGTTTCCTGCAGAAGAGCCTGGAGTCCTGTTTCTCTCATCAGAAAGCCTGTAACTTAGTAAGTTCCCATGCATTACTGAAGTTCCCTCACATAGCTGTGTGAAAAAGAATCCAGAGCAGATAAAAATAATATTCACCTAGCACCTGCTGAGTGAAAGGCTCTTATCCAGACCCCATAATGAGGCAACCAGCCTTTTACATTTTACAAGTGAGGGCTGGAGTTTTCCAGACTGGGAAACATATTCAGAAATATCAGCTGTCTCAGGCTATTCCTTCACTTACTGAGTGCCCAGGAAGTCTTCCACTCCTGCAGCATCCTCCGCAGGACTGCCAGCTCCCACGTCACATCCTCCTTCAGGGGTTGGACCTGCTTCTTTTGTCTCCTAGTCTTGGTAGACTTGTCCTCCTCACCTACCTGCAGCAGAAGGCCCTTGGCCCGGGTTGGCAGTGCGGTCCAACGCTGGACTCCTTTCTTGAATTTGTAAGCTGTGTAATGAAGAATTGGGTTTCATCTCACTGTGGAGACCATGGAACCTGGGGACTTGTACACCTTTCAAGTGCTTATACCCAGTGTGGTGGTTTGAATAAGAATGTCCCCCACCAAAGGCTTATGTATTTGAATGCTTAGTCACCAGGGAATGGCACTATTTGAAAGAATTAGAAGGATTAGGAGGGCTGGGCAGTGGTGATTCACACCTTTAATGCCAGCACTTGGGAGGCAGAGGCAGGTGGATTTCTGAGTTCGAGGCCAGCCTGGTCTACAGAGTGAGTTCCAGGACAGCCAGGGCTGTACAGAGAAACCCTGTGGGGGGGGGGGGGAAGAGTAGGTGTGGCCATATTGGAGAAATTCTGTCACCAGTGAAAGACTCCCCAGAAGGAGAATAGACTCGGATACGACTCGACCCCAAAGACACTCCTGAGACCGGCTTGCTGTAATAACATAAGTCAGGTTCTTTAATATACGAAGCTTTGGGTCGATACGTGTCTCATGTAGGAGACAGAGGAATCGACCCTGAGACCTAACAGCTTAGGGTTAATAAAGGTAAAGGCGGGGGTTGGGGGGGAGGAAGGGGGTTGCGGCACAGTCACATACAATTGGCTGTTTCAAACATCTGTAATGTGTTTAAGCAGATCTTACGAGAACTGTCCCTGGTTTCTATGGCCTTGGGACCCGGTGTGAATTTTATCTGAGCCAGCTCACCACCTGGCAGAATTTAATTAGCAGGTCCTTGGGCCCTTCGGTGGGAGTTTTTCCAGAGAAGGCTAAAACATCACAGGAACAGATGGATGTTTCAATAATGTTCTCGTTCTTAAGGAATTTACCCTTGGGCACTTTCTCTATCCCTTCACAGCCGGTGGATGTTTGGAGCACTCAGTTGACCTTTGTTTCCCTGCATCTTCTGTGACGGCCTTGGGTTACAAGTTAGCTGACTTGTTATTCCTAACTATTTATATTAGTGAATTGAGACTTCCTGTTATACTATTTAACTAACTTAAAAAATATCTTTTCAACCAGCCGTGGGGCTTTGAGGTTTCAAAAGCCCAAACCAGGCCCAGTTTGTCTGTCTTTCTATCCATCTGTCCATCCCTGTCCCCCAACCCCTTGCTCCCAGCCTGCAGACCAGGACGTAGCTCTCAGCTACTGTGAGATCACCTGCTGCCGTGCTCCCTACCACGGTGATAATGTACTAAGCTGCTGAAACCGTAAGCGAGCCTCTGGTTAAACTCTTTGTTTCATAAGAGTGGCCGTGGTCATGGTGTCTGTTCATAGCAACAGAACACTGACTAAGACACCCAGCTCCGTGCTCAGCCTGAGGGAGCCCATCTGAATAGTGCAAAGAATCATCTGATTGGAGACTCTGTGTCTGAGAAGATGGGTACATTTTGTTTTAGAAGCTCACTTCTTGGTCACCTTTGTCTTACAAAACAAGAAAGAAATGAAAAAAAGAAAAGGCAGGGAAATGGCTGGCTCCATGGGTAAAGCACTTGCTTTGCAAATGTGAGGACCACAGTTTGAATCCCCAGCACCCAGATAAAAGCTGGAGCAAATACAGCAGCCTGCCTAAAATTCAAATACTTGAAAAACTGAGACAAGAGAGCTCAAAAAAACCCAAAAAAACAAAGAAACAAACACCAGGTTTTTCTAGACTAACTGTATCAATGCTATCTGGGTTCGATTGAGAGACCTTGGCTCAATGAGTAAGAGGAGAAGAAAGTGAGAAAGACGCCCTAGCATTAGCTTCAGGCCTCCACACACATGCCCACTCCTGCATACTCACACTCAGGGACACACAACACCATACAGAGACATAGCAAGAAAAATGAAAGGGGAAAAAAAAAAAAGGCCTGCGGTCTGAGGCAGAGAGGAACACAGAGGTGAATGAGGAGTCTGATGATCTTCCTGTGGTAACCTGAGTGCACACATCTTATTGGCATTACCCTAAATCATGTATTTATACTTAAGTAATATTGGATTCCACCTGGTTGCAAGTTCTACCATCTTACAATCAGCATTTTACAATGGTTTTAGTTGTTAGTGAGTGCCCCATTGTTGATGGTGTCCAAGATTTTAAAGAAAGATCTTCAATTCCATTCCCTTGTTAGCTTTCTGAAAATGTCCCTTACGTTTTTCAGGAACAGGCTGGAAGCTCCACTTCTCTGGGGTTTCAGGGAAGACCTTAGTGAGGTGCTTGTCATACCGGTTGAGGTTTTCCAGTACAATTTGGTCTCTCCTCCCACCAACCTGGTGAACAATCTTCACTCCGTCTATGAAGACAAATGCAATGAATGAATGTAGCCCAGGCTGGCCTCAAAGGTATGCTCTTTCTGCTTCTCTGCCTCCCAAGTGTCAGGATTAGAGCCATGTGCCACTATGCTCCAGACTAGAAATGTCACAGCTGGCAACCTTGTAGAAAAACCTCATAAAGGCCTCGGAGGGCCAAAGATAATGTTTTCCAGTGGTAGAGCAGAACTTAAGTGTACTAGACAAGGAAGAAGGGGCACTTAGTTAACCCTGCCAGTTATGAGTCCCTTAGAATAGTTTTGTTAAGCTCCTTAAGGAGACCTGGCCTATAGCAGTGTAGAAGCAAAAATGGAAGTGAAGAAGCATGGAGCTGGGTGGTGGTGGCGTACGCCTATAATATATAACTCAGAGGCAGAGGCAAGAGGATCTCTGTGAGTTCAAGGCCAGCCTTGTTTACAGAGTGACTTCCAGGACAGCTAGGGATACACAGAGAAGCCCTGTCGAGAAAGAAAGGAGAGGAGAAGAAAGAAAAAAAGAAGCCCACTTGGAACATGCAATAGACTGTATTCTGCAAGGCTGGGCATTGAAAAGTTAGCTGGATGGAGGGAAGAGAGGATACAAGCAGGCATGATGACTTCTGTGTGCTAAGCAGAAGTTCTACAGATGCTTTCTTGTCTCCTGCATTGAACGTACAGTCTTGTTAACATTGCTTTACAAATAAGTATCATGTTTTGTCTCAGTGGGGTGAGTGGGGTGGATTATGTAATTTGCTGAAGCTCACTAAGAAGGAATCAAGCCAGTGTTTAAACAAATCTGCGGAAACCTGTGGGTTTCTTGTTTTGTTTGTTGTTGGTTGTTTAAAACACAACAGGTCAGGTGGGTGGGAGGGGATACCTAAGTGATGGCAGGACAGACAGAACGGTCCTCCCAAAGTCAGCTCGGACTCAAGAGCTCATCTGCCCTTCTCTCCTTGGTAAGACAGAGAAAGAAAGAGAGTCAGGCAGGCAAAAGCAATGTGTGCTCACCACTGGATACCCCTGCCACAATCCTGTACCAGCGCTGGGAGATGCATCCGCACACACTCATCTCTACCCACAACTATTCTTGTCCCAAGATGCCCTCATTTCCTCAGCCCATACTCCCACCCCAGAGCCCAGCATTACCAAAGTAAATCTCCTGCTCAAAGGCATTGTCTGTAGAGTAAGCATACTCTCCAGCTTTGCGGTTCACCTGCCGGAAGGGGCTCTTCGTTACACGCAGGATGTTGCTTCTCTGTTCTCGGATATCCTTGGCTGTCATGTTGTTGCCAGGCAGGATTTCAACTGTGTGTACTTGTGGGGAGTAACCAGGTAACCTTAGCAGAGGTGAGAGAGGGGGCAACAGTGGAAGGGGTGAAGGTGCTCCCTCCTTAGGTCCATGGCTCACTGGAGCCCATTTGTGCTCTGTTCCTACATGGGACCATCAGAACAACTGTGCCAGCATTCTCGAGTATGGAGCCTCTGGGAGAGCCTGTCTCCTGCCACCCTCCTCCCCTCCACTGATGGAGCCGTGGCTCTCGAAGTCACTGGGTGACACCATGAGAGACCAGTTGTGCTTCCTGCTCAAACTCTTTCCATTTTCTTCTCCATCTTCTATGGATATGGGAAAATTGAGAAAGGACCCTGCCGTGTAGGTCAGGCTAGCTTAGAATTATTTAGTACGTAGACCAGGCTGGCCTCAAAGTTGTACTCTTTATGCATCTCTGCCTCCCAAGTGCTGGGATTACAGGCCTGTGTCACCATGCCCCAGTCTGAAACTCGTTCTTCCCACTGGTTCCCTTAGAGGTTGCATGGATGTGGGGGAGGGGAAACTGCCTTCGATGTTACCTCACTGAGTCTGTGGGAATGGACTGTCTATTCACCAGGTGGACACATCTGTCCTTTCGTATTCTATTCCCACCATTCCACAGACTATCTGAAATGACACCACCAACCAAAAGAATCAACTCACATTTGCCCAATAAATAACTAACTACATTTTGACTTCTTTGTAGTTCCCTTTTGGACTTCAGGGAGATAAGAATAGCTCTTTAGCTGAGAATGAAGAGGATTTAACCTGAGAAACATGGGGCCATCTTCAGCTCTTGGATTGCTTGCTTCTCTGCCCTGAGTCTGGTCGTGTCTGAGGTCAGTGAGTCTTTTTTTTTTTTTCTTTTGAGACAGGGTTTCTCTGTGCAGCCCTGGCTGTCCTGGAACTCACTCTGTAGACCAGTCCGGCCTCGAACTCAGAAATTCACCTGCCTCTGCCTCCCAAGTGCTGGGATTAAAGGCGTGCGCCACCACTGCCCGGCAAGGTCAGTGAGTCTTATTCAAAGTGAGGCAGACCAAATAGTGCCATGAACCCCCCCGCCCTCCTCACTGCCAACCTGGCTACATCTCCAGGTGCCCTAGTGAGCTGGGCCATCTGCCTGAGAGCTCAGTTACTGGAAACTGAGGCCAGAATCCTTTAAGATTGTGACTCTGAACAGGGTATGATTTTTGTCCTTCAGTGATATCTAGCAGTGTGTGAGACATCCTTGTTTACCACAACTGAGAGGTGTTACTGGTTTCTAGCAGGTGATGACCAGAGATCATGCACAGCACTGTGCTGCAGCTTACACTAGAGTAGTGTCTGGACCAGAATGTCAGCAGTGGAGAGGCTTAGACACCTAACTTGAGATCTCAGAGAGCAGGTGGTGGTGGTGAAGAGGAGGTTGACAGGAAAGTGTATTCTGAAGTGTGGACTGGTGTGTGGCCAGGGGTGGCGATCTGGCCCAGCAAATGCAAGGGGGTGGGTTTGATTGTGAGGACCAGGAAAACCTAAAGATATCAAATAAGAAACCTATGGGGAATCCCTGAAGGGGAGCCATAGACTTTGCCAGACCTACTTAAGATCAGGCTAACCTGAAGTAAACCGGAAGCAGTAGCTCTGGCTTCTTTATTTCCTTTGGTGGTGGCGGGGCACTTTCACCCATAAACTCCGCTGTCTCTTCTGCCTCCAGTTTTTTGAGGAGTTCCAAGTCACTGGATGAAGTGAGCTCGTCCCGAATGTGGCTCCAGTCGTACTGCTGGCGCAGAAAGGTCTGCCACTTGTTGGGCGATTGTCCGGGCCTCACTGGACGCTTGCTCTGGATCCATCGCGCCGTGCGTTTGTCCAGTTTCTCCAGCACGATGGCTTCCCAGCCTCGGGCCTCCTTCTCACCAGGTGGAAGCCAGGTTTCCCTTTCTTCCAGACTCTCATCTGGAGAGAGTGACAGTTCCAGGATCTCTGTCTTTAAGTTGTGATGGCGGCCTTGTCCAGGAAATGCTTTCTGCTCCGGGCTTCGGGGCTTTGATTTCTTCGGCTTTTTAGAAACCATACAACTTTGTATCTTTGCAAAGTAAGTGAAGTCTTCTGGGAAGAAGGTTGAGGTATGTGTCTTTGGAAAGTGAGTGATGACTTCCGGCAAGAAGGTTGAAGTACACAGAGCCGCAGTGTACTCAGGTTTCTTAATGTCGGTCTTCCGGGTCTGCGGAGGTGACATGATGTTTTGCGTGTTGTAGATATGCTCGAAACTGTACTGGTGGAAAGGCATGCTGGGCAGTCCTCGCTGCCACCTCACGTCTTGAGAGAAGGAAAGGTTAGCGGCTGCGTTTTTCAAATACTGGTTTTTTAGTTGCTTGCAGTGCCGTGGGCTGAAGTGGAAGACAGGTGGCACTCTGGAGACCCAGGCACAGTTGTCCTTGTCCGTGGGCTTCGAGTGGAAGAAGTTCATGCCCCATCCCAGCCGAGGGGGCTGTGGCTCAAGGCAGTGAAAGGAGGAACCTTTTTTCTTTTTGGGCTTGGTCATGTCTCCCTACAAATCTTTCTGTCCACACTTCTGGTTCACAAGCAGAGCCTGCAGGCACCCAAAAGAGGCAAAGTGAATAGTCTAGGCGAGGAGGAATTAACAGGAAGCCCACAGTGGAGTAAGGAAACCCTGGGAGTTTAGGGAGGAAAAGGAAGACATAATGCAACATTCTAAATATTTCTTTTTTTCTTTTTTTTTTTGTTTTTTGTTTTTGTTTGTTTCGTTTTTTCGAGACAGGGTTTCTCTGTATAGCCCTGGCTGTCCTGGAACTCACTCTGTAGACCAGGCTGGCCTCGAACTTAGAAATCCGCCTGTCTCTGCCTCCCAAGTGCTGGGATTAAAGGTGTGTGCCACCACCACCCGGCCTAAATATTTCTTGTATCAGACCCTGGCTTCAAGTTCTCACACTAGTTTCTAAGTAGCCTCTTGGATGAGAGATATTGGCTTTTCAATAGGACCCCACATTTCCATTTTTTTTTAAAAAATTAATTTCTCAGTTTAAGCTGCTTATAAGGAACTAGGTATGGCAGTGTATGCCTGGTATATTGTCCTAGCTACTAGGAGGTACAGGCGGAGTAGCAGGGTGAGCTCTGGAGTTTCAGGCTAGACCCCACTCTTCAGAGAGCAAGGGCTGGGGGTGACTTTATTGTGCTTTGGAACCCCCTCCCCCAGTTCTCTGAGCACCCCTTTTCCTTCCCACAGTACAGCTTACTTTCACGCTTTCTACATGAAGTGGCTTTTCATCCATATTTGACATAACTTGACCAACTCAATGCCTACCTATCCCCAGTCTTTCTTGACTTGTTAAGTGGCTTTGAATCTTTATGCCACCCTGGCCTTGGGCCAGGCACTACTCTGGTCATTCAGCAATGGGTCCTAGCACTCCCTGGAGCAAGCACTTCTCTTTCCTTCTCACCAACTCCTGCCCGCTGTGAACTGCCCCAGCTAACCAGCAGGCCAGCAGACCCTTCCCTGGGCTCTGTAGCTGCAGTCCATGCTCTCCCCAGCATCTGACTTCTCACACTGTCTTCTAGGAATGAGTCTTGACCTGGTGATATTTCTTTCTGTCGGAGTCATTTTCTTAGAATGTTTGCTTACAGGCCAAAATCGATAACTTCCTTCAAATTCAGTCACATAGGATGATTTTTACATCTCTCTGGGATTTTATTTTCATGAAAACATTAGTTTGTCTCATTTCTTCACAGCCATGAAGCCAACTTTGGCCACGAGGTCATTGATATTTAAATAATCTGACTAGAAAAACTAGGGCAAAGGTAAAGGTTGATCCCAAGGAGGTCTCTTTCCTGAAATGGTGCCATGCTATGTTCTTGCAGCCCTTCCCCCTCACAGTGAGCCTGCCTAATGTTTGCTCCTTGGCACGTAGCCTAGGCTAGACTAAATGATATAGTACAGAACTTCCTTCTACCCCCTAAAAACCTATAAAAGTAAAGAATTTCCTTTGTTCCTTGGGAACTGAAGGGCCTCTCGTTCCTTTCAGGATGCCTATTAAGCTTATACTTGACTGTGCTCTCTGAATGCTGTTCCGCTTCATGAGGCAGTCTCTCTGTCTCTCTCTCCCCCTCGTGCCCCCCCCCCCATCTCCACCCTGCTCGGTTATGATCCTGTGCTTCTCCTGTCTGCTCTCCATGTCAAGGCCTTATCATTTTCACCCCCTCCGCCCCATGTCACTCTCCAAATAAAGCTGATTCTGAAGGGTAATTGGTCTTAGCTTCTGTATAAGCTATTGCTGTGATAAAACATGACTGCAGCAAACGTATGGTTTCAGAGGGTTAACAGTCAGTCATGGTAGGCGTCACGGCAGCCAGCAGCAGGCATGTTGTCTGGAGCAGCAGCTGAAAGCTCACATCTCAAACCTAAAACAGGAAGTAAAATGCTCTGGGGATGGTGAGAGTATTTTGAGCCCTCAAAGTCCACTCTCAGTGACACAACCTCCTCCAACAAAGCCACACCTTGTAATCCTTCCCAAACAGTTCCACCAAAGGGGGACAAAGTCTCCCACTATGTGAGTCCATGGGAGACACTCAAACCACTACAGATTCCCAAACAAAGCTTCCACTCTAACCGGCCACTTTCTGCTTGTTATAACATAGGGTGCACAAGGGGGTTTAGTGCGTATCCTTTCCCTGTAAGAGTGGTTTCTGGTGGGATATTTGGAGAAAGTTGGAAGTTTACATCTGGGAAGGAAGAAAGGCCAAGTGTTAACTGTGCTGGAATTCTTGCTTCTCATTCAGTGAGAGACTCCAGCTAGACTACAGGATGAGGGCTTCTCTGTTCTTGGGTAAAATGGTTCCTGTTTCCATGCTGCTTTGGTTATAAGGGAAGTTTGGTTAAAGGGGAAGGCAGAACCTGGGAACCCTAAGCTCTTAACCAGATCCAATTTCCCCTCTCTTTTTTTCTACAAAATTTCCTTCCCTTCTCCGGTCTGAACCTCCAATTTCCAGTTCTCACCATGATTCACATAGCTATATAGCTGTCTCCAGCAAATACACTGAAAAATGCTCTGAACAAAAAATCCCTGGAAAGAAGTCCCGTGGTTCATCGAGCCTTCTACAAGGCTGGCGAACTGATTAGAACTTCAAAAGGGTGTGGAGTGTTTGGAATTTTGCAGGTCCAGAACCTGATTACAGTTTACCTAGAGGTAGCAGGTGGTGGTAGCGCACACCTTTAGTTCCAGCACTTGGGAGATAGTTAGGCAGATCTCTGTGAGTTTGAGGGCAGCCTGGTCTTCAGAGAAAGTTCCAGGATAGCCAAGGCTACCCAAAAAAAAACCCTGTCTGGAAAAACAAACAAACAAACAAACAAAGCAACAAAAACAATTTGCCTAGAGCCATCTTTAGCTCTCTAAATAGCCATCTCTTTCCCACCTTCATGTCTGATCTCACATCCTTGTGACTAGTAGGTAAAACCTTGTAGAATTAATTTAGCAGCCAACTAGCATTCTCCAACCTAAAATCCAAGAGCGTCATCAGACAGCATCTGAGACCCATCACAGAGGTGTGTCCGATTGGCTGTCACCCTCTTATCTTATGTTTCCACCAATGTACTTGAAATTCGTCTTGATTATGACCTTTTTTTTTTTCTTTACAAAACCTTCGTGAAATTGCTGTCTCATAGGAACATGGCATTTTGAGAAACCTACATTCCCAGGTTATGGTCACTAATATTTGACTCCCAAATAAACTACCTCCTTTATTCCTTGGCAGTGAGAGTCCGTCTCTTTCATTTATAATGCTGTTAAACAGCCTGCTCTAATGCCTTCACCTTACAAATTCCACACCCCAGCCACAAGCAGAAGAGACCCAACTAAGATCACAGGTCTGGCAGCTGTGTGGATGCTGAGCCTTTTACACAGCACCAGTCTTCTGAGTTACCTTAGCCCGCCCTCTCCAGCAGCTGATGCATGTAGCTGCAGTGGTTTGACATTACCTCCCAAGTGCCGTACTGTCCCACAGTTCGCCTTAAGGAGAAGCAACGTTCTGCATCCTAAACATTCCTTGGTTGCTTAGGTTCCAAAGCTGCTTGGTGGTCACCAAGCAACGGAGTCTTCAGAACTCCGAGTCTGTTCACAGAAGCTGTGGGTTCTAGTGGGATATCTTCAATCACTTTGTTAAACCTCCTTCTTTGTAAACTGAACTTTGAGAAACTGTTTCATATTTGTTGATTGGCAGCTCACTGGATTTCCTAGCCATTTGTTACAACAAACCCCTCTAGGTCTATACAGGTTCATAGGCCCCATTCCCCACCCCCACCCAGGAGCCCTTACATCCTGCCAAGAAGAGCAAAGCACAGAACACCTGGATAAGCAACTCTGGCATTTTCCAGATTACCAGGCAGGTAATAAGTGATGAGATAAAGCTGTCTCCCAGGTCTGGTCCACTCCCCTCTCACCTCCGCTGCTACCTCCCTGCTCCCAGTCCAGCTGTGGCCCAAGTCCTGGCTGGATGATGGGGTAACAACACTGTGTTTTGTTTTGTTCCTGTTTACAACTGCTTTCTTCAAATCTTGTATGTGAGATAGCTCAATTTCAAGCTTATGGAATTGCTGATCTTCAGGCGTCTGCTTAGAAAATTAATTTGTCCCAACAACAGGAAGACTTCCGGGCACAGCACTGTCTAGTTGACTTAGGATGTGATGTTCCTGTGTCACCGTCCTTTTTCTTCTTCAGTTGTACTTAAGCTTTTTTGTTTTGTTTTGTTTTGTTTTGTTTTTCGAGACAGGGTTTCTCTGTGCAGTCCTGGCTGTCCTGGAACTCACTCTGTAGACCAGGCTGGCCTCGAACTCAGAAATCCTCCTGCCTCTGCCTCCCAAGTCCTGGGATTAAAGGCGTGCACCACCACCGCCCGGCTGTACTTAAGCTTTTAAAATCAGTAGCATTTGTTAGTACTTAAGTGTTTTATTAAATTATTTAATGAAGCATGCTGTAAATATGACATTGCTGATGCTTAGATACACTTTTTTTTTTAAAAAAAAATCCTTTTGAGTTGGTAAGCTTTCAGAACAAAATTAATTAAAATTCTTTTTCTCCTTTTTATTTATTTTATTATTATTATTTTTAAAAGACAAGGTCTAAGTACTCCTGGCTGTCCTGACGTTCACTATGGAGCCCAGGCAGGCCTTGAACTTGCAGTGATTCTCCTGCCTCTGCTAGGATTACAGATATGAGCCAGTGTGTCTGGCTTTATAGTGTAGTTGTAATATTTTGTTCTAATCATATAGTCTGGCTGCCTAGCATGTCACAGTAAACAGGGTTTGTGACCTTGGAATGTTACAAGCACTGCTGCAACAGTGCACTCCCAGTGACTCCCTTTGACAGGAAGTCTTAGACCAGGATGACAATCTGGAAAATCTGACAAGCTGAAGCGGGCAGAGCTCACCTTCTGAGTGGATACAGGATCACAGGCAGAGAGCTCCACTGATGGAGATGCTGAAGTGAGAGGAATCTCACGCACCAGGCTTCCAATTTCAGATGCACAGATGGTTTCTTGTGCTCTATTCACAGACCTCAGGCTCCATTATTGTGGGCTTAGGCTGAGACAATATCACAGTGGCAAGAGTGTATGGTAGATGAGGCTATTTGCCCAACAGATCAACGTAAGGACAGATCTATTTCAGGTCCTGGTTTCAAAGGGCTCAGCCTGTGCTTGTCTATCTGCTGTCTCTGGGCTGTGGTGAGGCAGTTGAATGCCACAGAGGAACAACCTTCAATCTCTGGCTTTGTTTGCAATATGAGCTTCCTCAGATAGATTCTCTCAGAAGAGTGAGAAAGGACTTCCTCCTTTGAAAAACTAAAAGATAAAAGATTCAAACCAGACTGGGCAGCAGTGGCCCAGGCCTTTAGTCCCAGCACTTGGGAAGCAGAGATAGGCAGAGTTCTGTGAGTTTGAGGCCAGTCTGGTCTACAGGGTGAATTCGAGGACAGCCAGGGCCACACAGAGAAACCCCTTCTTGGGAAAAAAAAAAAAAAACATAAAAGAAGAACAAACAGAAAACAATGAAGCAAAACAAAACAAAAACTCAATCAGCTAACCAAAAAAACAACAAACAAACAAAAAACAAAAAACAAAAACGAAACAAAACAAAACAAAAAACCCAGAAGAGATAAAAACCTTGTTGAAAGTTCTCAAGAAAGAAACCGAAAGACTGTGAGCCAACAACTTCTACCCAAGAGTCACAAATCAAAGAAGGAAAGAAAAAAGCAGGCAAAGACTGGGCAGCTCACCAGTTGGAGGTTACCCCAGGGTCCCTGGGACATACATAGCCAGACTCTTTGCTACTCAGGATGCTGAGAGAGAAAAATAGTGACTTTAAAGCTAGCTTTGGGCACCTAATGACTGAGACCCTATTTCAAAATAAAGTCCCATAAAATGCCAGAGATGTTGCTTAGTGGTAAAGCCCTGATTGAGTCCCCAGTACAGCAGGAAAACAGGAAAATCAGCCCATCAAAGCAAACACAGCCTCTGATTAAGTCTCTTGTAATAAACATTGACACATATTCTTGGCTATTTAGTTATTCCTATGAGCTTCTGTGGGTGCACACCTTTAATCCTAGTGCTCAGGAGAGATGGATATCTGTGAGTTGTAAACCAGCCTGATCTACATAAGGAGTTTCAGGAAGTGGGGCGGGAGGGAAAGGGAGAGAGAGGGAGATGTGTTTAAAAAATAAAGGAGAGAAAGAATTACATTTCTAAACGCAGAATTTTGAATCAAAATATTATTATTATTTATAGATTGCTGAGTGTGGAAGGGAGATATCTGAGTGTATTTTTAAAATTCTCTTTTCAATATTATAGGACATCACTGCATGAGAGGCTCTTTTAAAAACTTAAAGGCTTGTATAGGCAGGGAATTGATGCCCTAAGGTATGGATTCCAGCATTTTGATTTGTCTTTGTGTGTCTTAGCAAATCAGGCTCTCCGGTTCTTAATTTTTCCCCAATAGGGTTCTTATCAGGATAAAGAATTAGCTATTATTATTATTTACTTTGGTCGGTTCCTGAGGCTGTATGCAAATAAGGTAGAAGAATCCATAGTAGCAACACAAAAATAGTTATTTCCGAGTTCAGTGCAAGGTAATGTAAAACTAGGTAAAAGCTTTGTGTGGGCAAGCTCTTCAGGGTAGTTATCATGGCCTGCTTTCCTATAACTAATAAAACTCTGACCAAAACCAGCTAGTGGAGGAAGAGGTTTATTTGGCACTCACTTCCGGATTATGGTCTGTCCCTGAGGAAAGTCAAACAGGAACTCAAGCAGGAGGCATGAACCACAGGAGACACTGACTTGCTTTTCTCCTGTGCATGGTGAAGCCAGATATCTTGCTTGCTTGTTTGCTTGTTCTCTCTCTCTCTCTCTCTCTCTCTCTCTCTCTCTCTCTCCCTCCCTCCCTCCCTCCCTCCCTCTCTCTTTCAATTTTACTTTGTTTTTGTATGGGTGTTTTGGGGCACATGTATGTCTCTGATCCCCTGGAGCTGGACTTACAGAGAGCTGTGAGCTCCCTTATGGCTGAGGGAGATGAACTCAAGTCCTTTGGAAGAACGGCCTGTGCTTTTTAACCACTGAGCTAATTCTCCAGACCCCAGCTTTCTAATAAAACCTAGACGACCTGCTGGGCTAGGCCCTCCCACAGAAATCATCAGTCACACATAGGCCAATATGGTGCAGGCATTTCCTCAAGTGAGGTTCTCTGTTCCAAGGTGTTTCTAGTTTGGGTCAAGTAAACAAAAATGAACACAGTAGTTTTCTTAGGAGCAGAGACAAGAACAGCTTATATAGTTTCAGGTGTTTGTGATAATAAAGATGTGTAATTATCCTTGTTGTAAAGGTTCAAGGACTTGGAAGAAAAAGATCAATCACTGATTGGAAACAATAGCTTATGAAATAGTTGGGAAATGTGTAAAGTCCGGGTAAGTAGGAAAAAGTGTTTGCCTAGAGGGCCAAAAGACGAGCTCAATGTAAAAAGGACTAACTATGACGTCATTTGACTATTTTTACTTCGGTGTGGAATGCAGGTAAAGGGTCACACAGCCCATGAGACATTAAGTCCATTGAACATGTGACTTACGTGTAGGCTAAGCACGCGCAGACAGCACACAAACAAAACAGCATGATGCACATTTTTTAAAAAGAACAGTCCTAAGATTAGTAACGAGTGTTTATTACTCTACAACGCGATGAAACTCAATTGCAATCTCACATTCTTGACTCTGCAACTTACGAACTTGGCAACTGGAGGTCTCATTGGATGAGAGGTTTTTAAGAGCGATCCCTGGTCCAGCCCACTCTTCATGGGGTAAAGAGCGCCTGAAAAACAGTACTAATAAGAGGGTTCCGGATATAACGGAGTCTTAACGCACAGACGCCTTTAGTCAAAGCGTCACTACTTTTGCTTTTGTTGCTTGCTTGGCACTCTGGTCCTCCCAGCTCAGCAAGCACACAGCTCAGCCTACAGCTCAGTCTAAGGACTGCAGGCAGGCAGCTGGCCACTAGAGGATCTCTAACTTTCTCTGCGGAACTGAGGGCTGAAGTCAAAGACGCAAAATGGTGGCCTCGTCTTTCACTGTCCTAAGAGCAAGCAGGTTGTGCCAGTGGGGTTGGAAGAGCTGGGCGCGGCTGTCAGGGCCTCCGACGCTCAGCACCGGTGGCCGGACCACTTGGGCGCGGACAAATGCGACCCTGAGCCTGGAGCCCGCGGGCCGCAGCTGCTGGGACGAGCC